TCTTCCTCTACTATGAAAGTAGAAAAGTTGATCACTGCTTGTACTTTAGTGTTGATTTTTTTCCATTTTTTTCCTATGATTTATTTCAGTACTCTCTGATGCATATATTTCAGATGGTCTGCCTTTAACAAACTAAAAGATTGATTGGGTAATTTTCAAGGTAATCTGACCTTAGTTAAACCTTAATTGTTCACTAGGTATTTAACATACTTTGTGTTAATTTCTAATATTCAAAAAATGTCATCAAAAGACAGTATATGTTGAAACACAACCACATCTAAATCTGTATCCTCACTATATCACTTTTTATGTACTATCCTACTGTTGTATACTTTATATTGCAGCCATGCCTTGCCGAAAGGCTGGCTTTTAGGCATTGCCTACATAAATACTTCTAGTGGTGGTGTAATTGGGAAGAGGAAAAACACTTGGTACATTTTGCATGAATATGGTCTCGATCTTTGTTTAACATGGAGGAGGATGCCAAAATGCTGCTTGTCCTTTGGACAATGCAGCAGCCTGCAGTGGTTGGCCTGTACAGAAGCTGAGTGGCCTTTGCTCTTGCAGTGGTCAGCTGGTGAGAACATGGATGTGGTCTTGGTAGGTAGTCAGATGCTCAGTGCATCAACCTCTTGGTGAGATAGTGAGAGTCCCTACTGCCGTGACAGCCAGGCTGTATATTCTTCTTGGCTGCTCAGCCACTGCTTTCTCATCTTAAATGGGTCATGCTAGATTGTGTCAGTTTTGGCTTCTGCTATACCAAAAAGATGTGGACTGTCTGGAGAGGGTCCAGAGAAGAGCCACAAAGACAATCAAAGGACTGAGAACCTGCCATCTGAGGAAAGCCTGAGAGAGTTGGGTTTGTTCCACCTTCAGAAAGGAAGGCTTAGGGGGGAGACATCACCATGTTCCAGTATCTAAAGGAAGGCTACAAAGAAGATTGAAACTCTCTTTATACAAGGAGACACATGGAAAAGGGAGGGGCTAATGTGTACATGTTACACTTGGGGAGATTCCAATTGGGCACAAGGAAAATGTTTCACCTGACAGCCATTAGAATAATCTCCCCAGGGAAGTGGGGGAGCCCCCAACATTGGACACTTCTAAGATTTGGCTGGACAGGGTGCTGGGTCATCTTATCTAGACCGTGCTTTTCCAAACAGAGGTTGGACCATATCATCCTTGAGGTCCCTTCCAACCTGATATTTATGATTCTATAAGCTGAGTGTTTACAGGTGAAGTGTTTAAAAAGTGGTATGAGCGAGGAGGAATGGCAGTGAGGAAAAGATAAATGGGTGAGCTTGGCTGGGGTAATGGATGGATGTTACAGTTACAAGAAATAAGAGGAGAGAGAGGTAGAAAATGACATGGAGAGAGGAAATATTACAGTATAAAATTATCTGAAAATTAATAGCCAACCTGCTCATTTGACTTGATCATATTTGTTGGAGGGTTTCATGGCAGAAAGCTACAGAAAGGATCTTTTTTTTGTAAATAAATACAATGGCATTAGAATTAGCAGTTAATAAGTATTTAACTATGAACAGTTTTCCTGGGTTTTCAGAATATCACTTGTTCATTCTGTATTTGATAACGTAGCAGAACTCTACTTCTCACAGAAATAAAATTACACTCTCCTTTGATGTAAATGGATTGTCAAGGGTTAGGCTTGGGCTGGTGCTATTAACCCTTCTCCCTTCACAAAGGGGAAGAGAAAGGGAGTAAGAGAGACTTATGGATTTGCAAACTAAAGCAGCTTTAATGAAAATAGTAACAATAAAATATATACAAACCCGATATTGAACCCAGGGCCCCTGGTGGCAGTTATGTCAGTGTCACCACTAGCGCTGTGGGCAGGCGGTGGGGAAGTCCCGGCCCAGACTCGGCGGCAGACAGGTACTGGGTTCTGGGAGTGCAGTCAGGAAGGCACGGGTTGAGACTGAAGGTAGAATGGACAGAATCCTCCTTGGATGTTGGCCGCTGAAGAAGAGAGGCTGACCATTGTGATCCCTCAGCTTTCTCCTGAATATGACGTGTGTGGGATGGAATATGTTGCTGGTCAGTTTGGGGTCACCTGTCCTGTCCACTGCTCCCTGCAGGTGTGACCTTTTACTTTCTGCACCCCCAGCGTGGCACACAGGATTTAGCAGTGACCTTGGTCTGCACAGGAGCAAGAATAAGCGAGAGCCATTCTGCACACCATCCTGAGCAGTAACTCAGCATGGAGCATAATCACTGCTAGACACTGTTGGCAAAAAGGTGCCCTTACCTTCAGAAGGTGCAGTTACTTAGAAGAGACTGGGCTGAAAAGTTAAATCGCTGGACAGAAGTGGTTCTGTTCTAGCTCAGGCCAGGCCAGGAGTGTGCATGCACAGCCATTCTAGGCATGGTTTATTAGCAAAATTTATTTCTTGGCAAATTCCATCTCCCTTAAAGACATTCTAGATGCATGAAGGTAATAGGAATAAAAAATACCTTATCTTCACCTGTTTCCTCATTTGTGGAAGCTACAGAATTAATTAAAGTTTAGTTTGTGAATGATTAAGAGTGTCAGTGAGAGAAATTGACCAGCACAGCATGTCTATTTCCCACTAAGATGAATGCTGAAGTAGTTAGAGGATTGTACCAGGAAAGTGGAAGGAGCATTTTGTGATGAAACGCCTGGTGTTAGGACTGCTGATCTCTGGGCAGAGTCAAACTGCTAAACTGCAATTTACCCTGCATGAGATACTGTTAGTTTAGTTTCCTTTGCAGAAATAGCATTATGTCAACTGAAAATACATGGATGTATGTATTACACTCAACAAAACTTGATATTTCAACTTGCACTAGTTGGTCTGCATCCACCTGCAAACCTGGTGTTTGTCTTATCCCCTTAGATATACAAGAGAGCTAACAGCATATCAAATCTGTGTGTTTGAGACAAATTAAATATGCCACATGCATACTTTTACCTGTCAGTCATAATCTGTCTGAAGCTACAAGCTGAGATGCTTGTCCCTTAAATAATAGAAATCTTCCATCATGGAGAAGGAAGGGTTATTTTTTATTTTAAGACTGTGCTTCCTATATTAGTTTTCTTCTTAGAATTGACTTACTGAAGTTATACTCGCTAAATAAATAATTCATGATCTATAGGCTGCAGGTAATGCAAAAAAAATCTTTTTCTGTTTTAGGTTACATGGGGTAGAAAATGAAATGTAATTACTGTGTTACTCTTCTCATTTTTTTTTTTCTATTGTGCATGTTTTGATATATCAAAATGCATTATCCTTTTAGGAAGCTGCTCTAGGCAAACTTCCAGGAATTTGCATTGCATTTGAGCATTGCAGACTATGCAAGCTGCCTGAAGCAAGGGATCACAAGAAGTGACATGAATATGGAAAATTTCCAAATTCCATGTGGCATTTCAAATTGAGTTCCCAGGTGTTTTACCCCTTTGTTCTGTTCCTCTGGAGGAGCTAGGTGCTTTAAAGAGTTTCTCTTCATGGCACCAGAGCTGACCTCTGCTTCTATTATTTAAGAGCATTTTCAGCTTTATCCGATATGTAACCTTATTAAGTCTCTTTTCAGTTCTTTGGCTTTGTGGATCTTAGAAACACAGGAGATTCCACACCACCTGCTTTTAAGGTTTATATTGTGCTTTCTGTGTTCGGGATGGATATTTCAAATTCATCTAAAACCTGACTATTATTTGAGCAGTGGCAATTCAATTAAGTGACATAGAACTGTAAAAATTCCATATTTTGAAGTAATTTTAGCTTGAAGCTTTCTTGGGAGTAGTCTTGAAGTTTCAATGCAAGTTTAGGAGTTCCTTTTTCTGCCTTTGCTGTGGCAACAAACTGTATGTCATTTAATGGAGGCTATCAGTCTGTAAGATAGTCTGGTTCTCCTGCCCTGTGTAGTTGCTTCCCCTGTCTTTGTTTTTGGTTTCCTTGGTGCTGAAGAATGTTACTTATTTATTGACTGCAGCTTTAAAAAAAAAAAAAATAGTCTGTTGTAAATAGTAGGAGAAAAGTACTGCTGGCTAGACAGGAACAGGAGTCTTCAATACTGGCTAATTTTGTTTGGTTATGCAGTGTTTGGAGTTTATTTTAACTCTGTCTATCCTACTAGTGAGTGAAAACCTGTGTATTCCCTCTGCCACAGATAAGATCTAACACCATATATTTCTGCAAGAGGTATGACACAGTAGGAGCAGGTTTGTAGAGCGTAATGGTTGGTGCTGAGAACCTGGTATCCACACTGTGTGTATTAGGGCTAGCCATAATCTCGTCCCATGACTGGTGACTGCTGGTCCAGGTGCACTAGCTTCGTGCCTTGAGCACCCTTCACTTGAAAGAATCAAATTTGATTCACACTGCACTGGGCAGTGTGAGTTACAGAAGATTGTCAGGAGAAGCAGGTTCATCCAAACTAAAACATTAACACTGACACACCCTGCATCTATTACAGTCTAGAGCCATGGATCTTTTGATGTAAATTGAAATTTCTCCTACTTTAAGTGATGAAAGTGTGGTTTGAATGGCTATGGTAGCCAAGATGATGACCACCATATATGAACAAGGTTTTTAATATAAAATCCAAATGACTGCTGGCTCATTAATGGCTCTAGCTTAAAATTACTTTAGCTTAAAGGGACAAAATAATACACTTCAATTGCTTGTTTGTAATAGTTAGCTCATTAGCCTCTAATAATATTTGACTAATTTCCTCAGGAGTAAAAGTTTTGAAATCATGGTGGGGTTTGTGTGCTTAAAGTAAAGCTTTTCAGTCGTAACATCTAAGCTGTGCACAATCAAGTGGCACTAAATTTCTTTCTAGAACTTGCTACAGAGTTGTCCTTAGCAACATAACAGAATCAATTGTAACATTATAAGTTATTAGAGCTAAAAGTGTAAACAGCAAAGTTGTTAAGCTGAAAGTGTACTTGGATCTGGTTTTGTGCTAACCTTTGGAAACCCCTTCTGATGGTTGCAGGAGGCACATCGTATTTCAGTATGGAGCGGTTTGAAGATCTGTCAGACGGTGAAGTGGATCACGCATTCTTTGACAGTGATTTTGAGGAAGAGAAGAAGAAAGCTGAAGAACATGGTGAATGTATAGAGGAAGGAAGTGCAAAGGCAGCTCTTGCAGACCCTGATTTGGTTTCTAATTCAAAGGATGCAAAGTGTTGCGAGGAGGAACGTGAAGAAAATCAGAAAGATTTGCAGAAGGTTCAGTCCCTAGAAAATAGCACAGATCGCCTTGGAGATACTTCACCTTTGCCACTTTCTCCAGTTGCGGAGAATGCGGGCACATCTGGAGCAACATCTGCAGCAAGCAGGGGAACACAGGAGAGTGTTCCTGCTGGAATCCCCAAAATAGTTAAAGAAGGTGAAGAAGATTATTACACAGATGAAGAAGATAGTAGTGATGAAAGCAAAAAACAGAAGGTTAGACCAAAGTCAGCTAAGCAGTCAAACAACATAAAAAAGGCTAGCAAAAAATATACAAATATCAGCAGCTCCTCCTCTTCTTCCTCCTCCTCATCTTCCTCATCCTCGTCCTCAAGCTCAGATACAGATTGTTCAGATACAGATTCTGATAGCTGTTTATCAGATTCATCTCGTTCTTGCTCAAAAAGCAATGCATGTAGAAATGCTCTTCTGTCTCCAAAACAAAAATTCAAGTCAGTAATGAAACTAGCAGAAGGAAAACCAAAGCTTGGTGACTACTTGGAGGAGTCTGAAGACACAGTGACTGATGTAACACCTCTGTCAACTCCAGACATCAGTCCTATCCAGTCTTTTGAACTTGCAGCATCAAATGATAAGAAACTAAAAATAAAGAGACAGGAAAACGTGAACCAAGAATTATATGGTAATTTTGAAGAATTTAAGTACTACCACAAAATTTGTAAAACCTATGGGGCTGGGAAATCCAATCTTATATCTTTTTTTTTTATTATTAGATTCCGAGTTTGATCACAGATATAGTCAAAAAGTCTTGCATGATGCCATGGACCTGAATCAGCTTTTGAAAGGTGACTTTTACATTTTCTTTTTAAAAATTACACATTAAATTATAAATCTGTACATTGTTACTGAGTCCTGTTAGAAGAGAATGAAGTTTTCATGTGCCATGCGTATTTTTAAAACTGTCTTGTGATTAAGCTGCATTGATCTAATTCTTTGAATTATTGTGTGTGTAAATAGTCCTGATTCTACAGTGGAAAGAGGCAGCATGTGTTGGCATGCATATACCTAGAAGTAAGATATACAGATGGGGTGTATCTCTAAATAAGATTTCATATATTAACAAATTGAATAATAAAACTGCACGTGCATTTTGAGATCTCAAAGTTTACTGGACTATGCCATGATTTGCTATTGAAATTAAAACACCAGCTTTTCTGATAAAGTGCTGTGTTATCAATGCCCAAAATTGAAATGCAGTCAAAAATGATGTTAGAGTTGTTGCTAGGCAATTGAAATTATGATGTCCTACATGTTTATTTGTTCCCTGATAGCAAGAAGCTATTTAATAACTGGTGATTGTGGAATGATTCATCTCATCCCTAAAACAAATGGATATTATAGCTCAGAGTAAGAATTCCCAGAGATAATCTCTCTAAGAGGGGGAAGTTTTTTTCCCAAAACTGAAACACAATTCTAAATAACAATAATAAAGATTGAGTAATGAGAAGTAGAATTCATATAGTCTGGCAGTTAATGTTGCTGATTAACATGCATTTTATTCCCAAGTGCCTCTCTAAATTGGCAAGCACAACATCACTTAATTACTTTGGATATTTTGAAGTTTAAACCGGGAAGGATTATTAATGGTGGACAGCAACAAGTGTGGGAAAACAGGCGCTAATCTTATTCTAAGTTATTGCTTCCAGGTTCTTCCATACTCATTAAAAAAAACTCCAAAAAAGTGCAAATCATTCTCCCCCGCCAAGTCTGCATTAAGTGTTCATCAGAACTGCACAGGCATGAAATTGCTCTAAATGAGAACAGTATAAATCCAGACCTGAGTGCATGAAAGAGTATTTAAATGATCATCAGGATGTCTCAGATTTGGTTTTAAAATACTGTATTCTTCCAGTAATCTATAATGATGAAGCATTTAGTTTAATTTTTTTTTGTCGGTTATGCTTGTAGTATAACTGGGCCTAAGCATTTACAGCAGCTACAAGAGTTTAATTTCTCAGGTCTCCAGAAACTTGCAGAATGTCAGTATGGTCAGTTACTGCATTGTTTCTAGGGGACATGTAGTAATTAATTTTCTACAGTTCTATACACTGGTAATGTGGACATTTGGGAAGGGTAGAGTCTCTTGTATAAAAAGAAAAAAATCACAAGAACAAAGGGAACAAATCTGTTAGAAGCACATGCTATTCAAAGAACAAGTTTTAGATTAGAACAAAACTGGTTTTTAAGCAGTGACGTAGTTTTTGTATCTTATAATAGAATTCATTTAAATAGAAAAAATGTTTCAGTTAAATTAAAAAGGAGTTGAAATAGTTTTTCCTCTGTATTATATGTCCTTGATACATATTTGTGCTCATATTGCAAACGATGCAATTTTGTAATCATTTTTTTAAAATCATTTGGAGAAGAGAAACTTACCAGGGGCTTTCATCTCCAAAAGCTAAGCTTGTTCTTGATAGAAGCCAAATTTCAAGTTACACTGCTCTGAATAATCTTAAATCTCATAAATAACATCATTTTAGTCGGAATTCTGCTAGTCTTAATGCTGGATGTTGTGCTTTGAATGCTTTGTATGTGGGTATTGCTGTGCAGCTTTATCACTGATTTTAGAAATACTCTTTATTGATCAGAACTCTGGACAAGAGTTTGATTAAGATGTGTGGTAACACTCTGTTGCTACATCTGAAAGTCATCATTTTATGTATGCTCTTACTGAAGTGAACATTACCAGGTACTGCAATCTGCCGTGCAGCCTCTGTTTGCCCTGTGGAAAATATTGGAACTAGTTTTAGTTGGTTCCACTCTCCTAATCATCTTCATAGCCCTCTGCTGGATTCTTTCCAGTAGTTCCCTGTCTCTCTTTAACTGGGGAGCCTAGAACAGGACACATACTCCAAATGTGGCCTCACCAGGGCAGAGTAGTGGGGGAGGAGAGTCTCCCTCAGCCTGCTGGTTTGACCTGCTTAGCATTACTTTGCTAAGATTGATGTCACATTGATTGACTGTTGTCATTATGTTGTATGACTATTAGAACTCTTGTAGCACTGTAGAGTCAGACAGCCACACTGCTTAGGAATTTAAATGTCTTTTAAATTAAATGTTATTAAGTTATTAATTATTAAATGCTATTAGGGTTTATATTTTACAGACCTCCTCTCACTCTTAACCTCTTTTTTTTTTTTCCCACCTACATGGAAAAAACACAGGTGTGACTGTAGTTTTTTCAGATAGAAGTACAGTTCTTCAGTTGTTCCATGATATTGTACAGATTTTTACATGTAATTCTTTTGTGAGTCAGTGCTGTTTCCACTTTGCTTAAATAAAAGACCTTAAAGATCTTTCAGAAAATTAATAACTAAGAGCAATATTAAAAACCTGTAATAATAAATGTCAGTTATCTGCTCTGCTGTAGTCTTGAATAATCTGAACACAAAAAGAGAATTAAATATGCCAGTGCAAACAAACAGATTGTCAAAAATTTGGTTTAGAAGTGCCTTCATAAAGCTCCATGTTAAAAGGCTTAGGAATTAAAAAAATGGAAAAAACTTTTTTTATCAAGTTTTGCTTGATCCTGTGTCTTGATTGAACGTCCCATGTTACTTAAGGAGCACAGGTCATGCAGATAAAGGCGTGGGTCAAGCGTGTAAGTGTGAGCCCAGCACTCAACCATTTCCATCCAGTCATGCTACAGACTTGCTCTCTGTCTTCAGACAAGTCTCTTGATTTCTACTCTTTAATGTATCTCTTTATTTCAATTTGTTTGGTATCAATACAGCAGTAATGAGATTGCACAAGGTATATAGAGTGCTCAAGAATTTAATGCTTTGTGTTTTCTTCTGTAAAGTGGGGTTGATACCTGATTATTTTACAGAGATGTTTCTGAGAATTAGTCTGTAAATCCATGGTATTAGCTATTATTAACTTGAGGAGGTGTGATGAGCTAAGTAGGACAATGGGCCACGGGATGAAGACGTGAATTATATCCTTGAAGCTCTCACTGACCTGCATGCTCTCTGCTAAATCTTTTTGCGTCTTCTGTGCCTTAGATTTTCTATTTTAAAATAGTCAGAGCTTTCTTGGCGAGCACTGATAAAAATATCATCATTATGAAATTAAAAGCTCTGTGTTTCTGAATAAAAGCTATTGTAGAAAACGAAACAGCAGCTTCAACTGAAGAAGTAGCAATTGCTTTAACTTTTTTTTTCTAGTTTGTTACTCAGGAAATAGAATGTTTTCTGTCACTGAAAGTTTTTCCTCTTAGGGATATGTTATCTGTTAGCACGTTTGTAGAATAACTGTTGAACAATATCTAAATTTAAAGTAGACTCTGTGAATTAATAGTGTGTACATGTGTATACATGTGCATTGTTTTCTAAGCTCCAGTAACTAGTGTTGAGGCAGAAGAGCAAATATCAGTGTATTCCTGTATTGGGAGCTTGAAAACAGGTGGAAAATTAAGGTGGTAAACAGATCCAGACTTTCCAAACATCCATAAGAAAATGGGTAATTTTGGAAAAAAAAATTTCTACATCTGTAAGGTATCCGTTGTCTTTCTCATGATATCAAGAAAAATAACTAGCAGCCCTATTTAAGCATATTTAAATAGGAAAAATTTATACTTAAAAAGACCATTAAAATTTTCTTAAAAAAAAAAAAAAAAAAAAATTTCCAAAATCCTTTTTATATAGAATGCTGCGACATGAAATAATGGATATTCTAGGAAATACTTGTTTACAGGGAAATAATTCTAGACTGAAACTATTAGACATGAGTGAAGAACAGTGATTTAATTCTTTTGTATTTTCCAAATGTGTTACAGATGTCTAGTGGAGCAGTATACAACAAAACACCAGGCAAACTCAAAAGTGTAAACACTGAAGCAATTTAATGCATTTTCCACTACTGGAATTGCAACAGATACACTGAAACACGCATAATTTTCATTCTAGCCTTAATGTCATTACGACAGCTGTACATCCTGTCTTAGTGCATTTGGCTTGCTAATTTGTACTGTATATAAGGTTTGGCCTTTCTCACTCTGCAAGGTCTTTTCAATGCTTACAAACTGAAAGTGGTAAACAGCCTTGTTTATTGCTTAAAAGAAAGTCAGGTGTCTCTCCATGGAAACCAGCTTTCACAGAAACCCTGTGAATACCAGAGAATTTTCTTTTCCAGCTTACCAGAAAATGAGAAGTAGACTGCACACTGTGCAAGTGTTTATGCAAATGCTGCTGCTTGTTTACACCCTTCCTCCAAATTATTGATTTATGGTCTGGTTGACAATGAAGTGGTAAGTAGGGGTTTAGTTAAATTGCTTAGTACCCACTGTTAGAGTATGAAGCTACAGGTAAATCATATTTAATTCTTCCAAGACTTAAAAACTGTTTAGAATCTTAAATCATAACCTTGAACTGCAGTATTGCCTCATGTTGTCATTGGCCCCTGCAAAAATAGTCAAATAAACCTTTTAAACACTCATACATTGTGATTAAAGAGTAGGTGGGTGCATCGTTGAAATAACTTTGAAATTCAAACATTTGAGTTATGTAACACCTAACCTTAAAATAGTAAATAGTATTTAGAGTAAATGCATTTACTTCCTACATGGGATCTTGATTTGTTTATTGCTGGTGAATTGTCCCTGGGTTTGTAGGCTTGTGACCTTGACCTCGTGTAGACACCTGCTGCCTTTGCCGTGAAAGCGGTGTGGTTGCCAGGGAATGCTGAAGTGCCTTCCGCGTGGATTGGAGATGCACGCCGTGGATTACCCAGTTTTCAGTCAGTCAGTGTGCAGAGGGTAGGAATATGATGCTATGTAAGTGGTGCTTTGCAGAGTGTAGGTTGAAGAGAATTTTCAGCTAGGTCACTTTGGAAGTAGTGGAAACTCTTCCTGATGCTTTGAAGCTCCTGGGTCAGAAGCCTCACTCAGGCCAGCGGAAATAGTGCTGCGCCTGTTGTAAGAAGACCTGCAGAACCTTTTGCTGACTGGTGTGTTAGATTGTTACTACAGCTTATTGGAGCACTGTTTCAGGAGCAGTGATTTCATACATGTCACCTGCCTTCTGCTTGAGTTTTCTTAGGAAAGGTAGTACTAGTGATCCTCTTCCAATAAGTGACCCAGTATGTATTTTGTTGTTTGACTTTTTTCTACTAAACTCTCTTGTAGTGCAGTTCCTAAAGAGATCAGTGTTGAATCTGCTGTGATTTAGAGAAGGTTATTAATGGGTGTAGACTTCAATAAGTTACGGTTTGGATTGAAGTGGTGTTTGCAGCTTAAATTCTTCCGTAACATAGATCTTAACTAAGTAAAACACAACTTTAATTTATTGATTTAGCAGCTAAAAGAACAGCAAATTAACTGCTTTCAATGTGTTGTCTGTTCCAGTACCCTGGCGTATTGCAGCACTGTTGCTGCAAAGAGGTACTTATGAAATTTCACATGTGGTTCTTCCTTAGGTCATGCAGAAGGCTAACTATATAAAGATCAGTTGAGGAACTGAAGAAACTAGTGAAGAACTAGAGCATTTTAGACTGATCTTTTTCACCGCATCACCTTGAAGAAAACTTGCTGCACATGTAGTGGCTCTGAGCTTTTGGTGCAAAATTAATGAGTCTTTTGTAATTCAACAATGTATCAAGAGACTAGTTACTGGCTTTTAGAATTCCTCTGCTCAGGCTTCACTGAGTAAGTTCATAGCAGAACCTTCATGGTGATCTTAACATTTTTTTCACTTTATTAATACATTTCTCTTGAAATATATTTCTCTTGTCATAAACTTGATATTGTCACTGTAGTAAGCCCTTAAATTCAAGAACAGTCAAAAAACTGTTGGCATTATTTAGATCAGTTTCTAGACTAAATAAGTATAAATAATAAGACTAGGAGTGATCAACATATTGAAGAAAGTGGGCTGCAGTCTCTTTTCTACCTGCCACAACTGGCAAAGTCTGTCATTGTGGTGAGTTGATAAAAGGTGTGGATGAGACACTGTAGAAGGAAAATACATTAATAGAAAAA